ACGTCGGCTGGACCTCGGCTGGACGTCGGTACATGCGGGCATATCCGACATCCAACCGACGTCGTGCCGAGGTTGGACCGACGTCGGGCCGACGTCGGCATGCCAATACCGAGTTGCCGACGTCACCCCGACGTCGGCCGACGTCGGGCCGACGTCGGCATGTTTACTGGGTCATGGTCCCTAGGGTGGGAATTGTTACTGTTTTCGAGATAGAACCCTCTAAAGCTCTTACCACCCATGACCGGGCCATCCCGATTTGACTGGGATGGCCCGGTCGATTTGACAGACCATGATTTTCGGAATCAGCGTGCTGAGAAGGCTCTGTGAGAAAATTTTCAACCAAATCAGGATGGCCCGGTCACGGGTGTCGAAAACTTTTGAGGGTTCTATCTCGAGATGGGTAAAGATTCCCACCCTAGAGACTATGATTTTCGGAATCAGCGTGTGCTGAGAAGGCTCTGTGAGCAAATTTTCAGCCAAATCGGGATGGCCCGGTCATGGGTGGTAAGAACTTTAGAGGGTTCTATCTCTAGAACGGTAAAGATTTCCACCATAGAGACCATGATTTTCGGAATCAGCGTACTGCTGAGAAGGCTCTGTGAGCAAATTTTCAGCCAAATCGGGGTAGCCCGGTCATGGGTGGTAATTGAACTTTAGAGGGTTCTATCTCGATAACAGTAAAGATTCCCACCCTAGCCCTCGCCCGTAAACGGTGTTTTGCCACCTTCGCCCATGCAGGGTGGGGGGCGACCCCCCTGGCGTTTGAAAACGGAGCGTCGTAGAGCTTAGCGGAAAAGACCACCGGATTGCTCTCAACGAGATCTCGCGATTGGTGGTATATTTTTTGGTCCTAGGTCAACATTTGACCTACTTATGACCGGTCAAAGGTCAAATTTTCGGAAAAATCTAGCTTTTTCAGATTTCCGCGCGGATGCGGCAAAACGGTAAGAGATATCGACTTGAAACCTTCACTATCGTGATCCTTGATCAATTCTCTATCGTTTGGTGTGTATTTCGATGTCATAACTCAAAAAATGATGCGTTGGGAGCATCGGAAGTCTGCAAGGTCATTTGTGCATTGGGTCACGTCAGGCGTGTGACGTCACTGACCTGACCCTGACCCAAAATGAACTACAAGAAACAACTGACGATGCCTGAAATGGATAGCAAATTCGAATTCAGGGCATCAAAATACCCCGAAAAAGCATACAAGTGCAAGAAGTCATTACAGGTCAACCGAGGTCACTGACCTGACCTTGACCTTTAGTAACCTTGAAAAGGTCAACGGACATTGTGCCAATGTCAAATCAGCCAGTTATGATTCTAAAACAATCCATCAGTGTATCAGGTCAGTCGGCATTTATACCATTGTGAAGCAATCTCCAATTTAGCGTAAATCTGGCCGGAGGTTGTTCCCTTTATGACGTCATAACTCCGTGACCTGATATGACCTTGACAAAAATTTGTATCAAAAGTTGCGCAAAGGATGCCCCAAAGGGTACTGAAAAGTTGAGCAGGCTATCTGAAACGGTTCGGCGTGTAGCTAAGAAAAACCTCAGGGGGGGTTGCACCAACCCCCCCCCCTACATGGGCGAGGGCTAGAGACCATGCTTTTCGGAAATAGCGTGCTGAGAAGGCTCTGTGAGCAAATTTTCAGCCAAATCGGGATGGCCCGGTCACGGGTGCAAAGAACTTTAGAGAGTTCTATCTCGAGAATGGTGAAGATTCCCACCCTAGAGACCATGATTTTCGGAATCAGCGTGCTGAGAAGGCTCTGTGAGCCAATTTTCAGCCAAATCGGGATGGCCCGGTCACGGGTGCAAAGAACTTTAGAGAGTTCTATCTCGAGAATGGTGAAGATTCCCACCCTAGAGACCATGATTTTCGGAATCAGCGTGCTGAGAAGGCTCTGTGAGCAAATTTTCAGCCAAATCGGGATGGCCCGTTTCTCGCTGCTGGACTCGCTGCTCGCTGCTCGCTGCTAGTTTGACAGACGTCTTGCCCCGCGAGAATTTCTCTAGTTTCTGAAGAATTTTTCGGGACCCATGCTCTACTCATACTGGATTCGAATATACGCGCAGCGACAGCAGGGTGGTCAGAAAAAAAAATATCTATCAAAATATTTCATTCATTTTATTTTTGATCTTTATCAAATTCACCTTCAAAGACTAAACCGAAATACCAACATTTCTTTTTGCTATTTTCTACGAGGCAGCCAATAAAAAAATGCTTAGTATTTTGCATTTTGACGATTTCATTCAGCAAAGAAGTACTTTCAGTTGAAACATTTTTCTGACAGCACTACAGACGAATCAAGAGAGGCAAGTGCTCAATGAGTCAAAGCAAGACAACTTTATGTTTAACTTTTTTGTTAAGTTAATTGAGAATGTTTTGAGCAGATTAAATGCAAAAAAGACATAAGATATTAGGTTTTAAATTCAGTCACCTCTATTGCTACGGAAGTGCGCCACATTTGTATGCTTGTATTTTCATGCGTAGAGCACCACTTTAGTCAGGTGGCCCCCGTTGTGAGTCGCACAAGAACGAGCGCGAGAGATCACGTTCTTCGCTGCCGCCAAGATCTCCCGGTTTGCGAAACACCGGTGTCGCCATGCCCGTTTCTTGTCAGCTTCAGAGTCTTATTCCCTGAAGCGAGCGACATAATATTAGCGACATATATTTGCGACGGGTTGATATTTGTTTTAGCACCATAATAATGCGACGAATCAAAGGATTACCTACAACGGGCTGTTGCTTAGCGCGCTCAAGCAGCTGTGCCTTATTTTCGTAATGGATGCGTGCAAACATGTCAGGAGACTTTCTGATCAGTAAATCATTATGTTGCTAATGTTTTCTCGGAGATCCAATACTCTGTTTCCTGGCTCGCTTCATGAAATAAGGCTCTGAAGCTGACCAGAAACGGGCATGGCGACACCGGTGTTTCGCAAACCGGGAGATCTTGGCGGCAGCGAAGAACGTGATCTCTCGTGCTCAATCTTGTGCGACTCACAATGGGGGCCACCTGACTAAAGTGGTGCTCTACGCATGAAAATACAAAACTTCAGTTCATTCTCTTTCGTTTGAGGCGTCATTTGCTTTAACCCGCGCCCTGCTGGGGGTCCTGGATTTCCACGCCCTGCTGGGGGGGGGGGTGTTTGAACACCCCCCCTTGTAACTCGGCTCCTGGGCCACGTAGCGATACGCGGAAGGCGGCGTTCGAAAGAGCGTCAAAAATAATGACGAAATCACTTCGGTCAATTTTTTGGTCAGGTCAAAGGTCAGGTCACCAGAGGTCATTGAAGGCAAAATTTCGCCGATTTCTAGGTCGAATGTCGAAAATTTCCAAGAAGCCAACGCATAACTCGGGAACCAATAGAGCTACAGCGCCGCGGAAAAGCGCATTCGATAGCTCTTTTAACGCCCTTTCTGAGTAATTCTCTCAGATTTGACCTAACGTCAACGGTTTTGCCTGCAGGGGGCAAAAATTGCAAAAATAGCCGATTTTTTCTAAAACAGTTTTTCTGCAATAACTTTTGACCCAAGCCTTGTACGAGCTTACTTTTAGCGGCATCGTGTTCCTCTCGTCAAGACGCATCGAATGAACTATGACTTGACCTTGAAAGGTCAACTTGAAAATTTGACCTCAGGTCAAGGTCATGACCTGACCGGAAAGGGTCATGTTGCATATCAGTCGATCCGTATCGTCGAGCTGAACACATCTAAGGCGTTTTCATCGCTCTAGCATACCTCTATCAAAAGTTATTTGCGAAAAACTGTTAGATACCATTCGTGACCTTAGATGACCTCAGGGCATAAACAAGGGTCACGGACACCATTTTCAAGTTCAGTGTGTCTAAACCACTTGTGATTCGGTGTTTGGGAGTGTTTATAATGTCTTTCATCCAAAAGAGGCGCATTTCAATTTTCTCCCATTGACTTATAATGGGGAGGTCGCAAAATTGACCTGACCTTAGGTCATCGATATCAAAATTCTGAGATATACATTTTGTACATGCTATTGCTCTTAGCAATCGCTGTAAGTTTCAAAGCGATCGGTCACTCGGTGTAGCTATGACAGACATTGAAAGTTTTTATGAGGTGAGGACACTTCAAGTGACCTGGTGACCTGAACTTGAATGACCTTGGTCTGAAATTTTCACAACATGTGTAGAATTGATGTATGATAAGGTGTACCAAAAACGGCGGCGGGAGCGCCGCCCGTTTTTGAGATATTCGCGAAAAACCACAGGGGGGGGTGTTCAAACACCCCCCCCCCCCCCCAGCAGGGCGCGGGTTAATCAGTGGCATAGCAAGGTCACACGACAAAAATAAAAAAGCTTCAAGACTTCTGGGACACCCTGTACTTTTAAGAGCATGTAGTTTTCGTTTCTAGTGCTCCTTTCTAACAAAATGTTCGATTAAGTCCAATAAAATTTTCATTTTTCAGTATATTTCATCAATTTTCCATGAACCGTTACTTTGAAAAATGATATAAAATACATCCACGCTAGGATTTACACATCCACGCTAAAATATGGACACTTCACTATGCTGAATTGAATGCGACCAGGCGCGACAGTCGCATTTGCGTCATGTTCGGCGGAAATCGTTAAGCCCCAACATATGCACAACATTTTCTATATTTGGGTACCATTACGTCACCAGCGTACCCATTTTTGGAAAATGCGTACCCATTTGTGGAAAATTCTTCCAAAAATGGAAGGCTTCTAAAAATGGAGGATTTTACCACAGTTTCCCCGACTGAGACGGTCGCGCACGCAGAGCACCGCTCGCGCGTCCGACCCGGCCAAGGTCAGCCGGCCGACTGTGAGATTGAAAGAAAATATGTGGGGCGAATATTATGGGGGGCGGGGCGGGGGGGGGGGGGGGTTGGACCAAGGGTTGGACGTTGGGTTTTGGGAGGTCAAGCTGTGGTGAATAAGATAAAATCCCAGGCTCATTCGATTCGATTTACGGTTGAAATAGCACAGTGTCCTTACCTTCTCGGCTGCTTCTGGGTTGTTGGGGTTCTTGTCAGGATGATACTTCAGCGCGAGCTTTCTGTAGGTCTTCTTTATCTGCTCGGGTGTGGCAGACTTTTCCAGTCCTAAAAGTTGATACAGTGACTCTCCAGTTGTTCTGAAATGCGTAAAAAATATAACCACTAATTTCAAGTCACTTATTTTCTCCGGCTGACATCTCAAGCAGCGATTCAGAAAAAATAACGACTTAAAAACAGCGACAAAAGAGGAGCGACTCACTCATAAGTCAAAACAGCAACAGCAAGCTCTATGTAGAACAGCGACTCACACGCTTCAGCGATTATTTAACCCGCGCCCCACTGGGGGTAGGGGGGGGGGGGCTATTCATAGCCACCACATAACAGTATTTTACTGTTAATGCCAAGTGCCATATTGATATTAAAATTGGGTTACAATTGAACATTCACCGGTTTTTCCATGGCCTGTTGTGCATCATATTATTGGTAATGAGAATATAGGTACCTACTCCATACACTGCTACTTTTGGGTATATATTAATTTTTGACCTGATTTTACTTCACTTCACAGTTCACCTTATATTTTCTTGCAGGAACAGTTATCACGCCATTATTGTGCAAAAATAAGGGTGGTGTTTCGCGGCACTCTGCCAGCCACTTTTGACTTCCATAGAGACATCAACAAGCCTATACCTCCAACACTATCGGAGGTTGACGCTAGCTCACGGAATGCATGCTGGCACAGCTGGCAGCGCGCCCGTAAAACACAGCCAGGGGTTTCCTCTGTAACGTCATATCTTATCATATATCTTATCATATTTTTATCAATCAATCAACTTGATAAAATCGCTATCGGTAATATCGATTTTAGTGTGTGCATTTATTGTTCATAGTGGTGTTAACCCGCGCCCCGTAGGGCTACCGGCGGACCCTACCACCCGTAGGGGGGGGGGCGTTACGGCCCCCCTAAGATCTCGGAAATTTACCGGCCGATTTTCAAAATCCAAACGGCGTTCGATAGCCTCACCCGGGAACTACCTTATGACCAAATTTCATTGACCTAGGTCAAACCGATGACGTCACAGGTCAGGTCAAAGGTGGGATTTTCACCGTTCACAGCAGTGATGCCATCCACATTTTTGCTCCATCCCAAGATCTCGACCAGAATTTCCCAAGATTTTCGTCTCGAATCCCAAGACTACCCATCGCATATCCTTAGGAGTACCCCAAGTAAATCCATAGCTTATTTTGGACATATTAGCAAGGCCATCTATAGACATATTAGTGTGTTTAGTATTCAACGTTCTCTTCTTCGGGTCCACCCTTGTCCTTATTGGCGTCTTTACAGCAGCTAATGTACCTAGAGGCCGGGGGGAGGGGGTCGATCGGACTCCTACAGCTGATCGGTTCCTGACCGAGTATAAGAGCTTCACGAAAAATGAAGATGCTGGCCTAGACAACATGAAGCCGGTGGTATCTGATATTATGGTCAGGTCATTCGTCGATCGTCAATGGTGGGTCAAGGACCCAAAATACAAAGTTCGAATCTGTTAGAACGTCCTGGAAACAAAGTATGTGGCATTTTGGATTTATTTCGAAATTTGTCTCGTGACACATTTGGAGAAGCTAGGGTCAGGTGAGGTCAGGCTGATTTTTAGTGTTTTCCACCACTGAGTTTTGAGATATGGGCTCCAAAACAAGCTCTTAAAAGCTTATGTGAATCCCGAAATCGAAAAGCCTATGCTGTGAATCTGCGCGTAAGCCAGTGCCCGCTGGGGCCCATGAATTTTCAAGCCGACGATGGCGAGGGGGTCTAAACGAGGACCTAACTCGTCCCCTGGACTATAGTTAAAGACGTCAGCAGTGTTGTGAAGGTCGCAAGGTTACGCTTTGATTATTTTTGGTCTAGCAGAGCCGCAGAGGTCAGGTGACCAGACACTTTTCCGAGATCAAAGACAAATTGCCCTTATTTTGGTTCGCGGTCAACGGATAAGCCTCCATAGAGCAAAACTGTAAAATGAAACGCTTTGTGCGGGAGCCGCTTTCTGAAATATTTTTGGGGGCATAATGTTTGTAAAAGCTTTTCATAGCCATCCAACATCATGCCGCCAAACCACCCATCCCCGTTGATCGGTAGTTGGAAATTAAACAAATGAGCGCCAGTTGCGAACAGCGACTGAAAGCTGCTACTATACCCATAACAAGTAATGGTACAAAAATAATCCTGCGACCTCGGGAAGATAATGCCTGCAAGAAACATCGCAAGCTTCGTCCGTTACTTCAATGTGTTTGAATGCTATTAACCGTCCGTGAGGCAAATCCATCCTAAATTTATTATCGACCAAGGAAAAAAGCATTCGACAGCATGAAATCAGCTTCTGCCAGATCCCAAGATATGCAGCGCAAATCACGAGATCCCAATGTTAATGTTCAAATCCCAAGATCTTGGGACAAATCCCAAGGAATGGCATCGCTGGAGGCATTTCAAGAAATGTGTTGTGAAATCGAGTAAATTGGTAAGTTTTTGAAAACCATCGATGGTAAATTGTTCATCAAACACATACTTCGCTATCTGAGGTCACTGATACCAGGTCAGGTCACAGAGGTCAGGTCACTGGGGGTCATCTGGGGTCAAAATATGAAAGTGTCGTGTGCGGTGTGATACATGTTTTATGGTCCATTTTACATGACAAATGCGATTATGTGGGTCAGGTAGCCTTTGGGGCCAGCTTAGGTCACGTTTTGGTGAAGGTCAGGTCAAGGTCCGCCAAGTCAAGTCCGCCCGGATCCGCCAGTGATGCCACACCACGCGAAACACCGCCAACTACCAGCTGCCGCGCCATAAATACGTGCCAACAACAGTCTTTTTTTGAAGGTCGACTCCGCTCGCACAACTTTTGACTGACCCTAACTGCTACCATATTGCTTCCATATTATGCTGTGGAAAGCTTTACTTCACCAAGTGGCTAAAAGCCTCCATCAAGGTATATTTTCTTAGCAATTTTGCTGACGTTTTGGGGGGGCCAAACAGGCCACTTTAGGCCTTTGGGGGGCCATGGCCCCCGTGCCCCCCCCCCCCCGGATCCGCCAGTGATTATCTCCATATGGTCCAGGAAAGCTGGCACACTACCTTTAAATATCTTGAAAACCGGTGAATATCTTTCGGTGAAATTCGGTATATATTCGTTTTTGCTCTTTCTGAACCGAGCGACATGCACTTTCACGCCTATTCATTATCTTTTTTGAAGGTGAGAGCCGGGAGGGCCCCTTTAAACAAAAATTGAATTTATTCGCCCTTCATTAATTTAATCAGCTGCAAACAGGGGCGGATCCAAGGGGGGGGCCAACGGGGCCATGCCCCCCCCTCAAGACGGTCAAAGGGGGGGCCATACTATCTTTTGCCCCCCCCCCCCCGCCGGCACGCCGCGTCCGAGCGTCACTGCAGCCTATTTCAAACGCGGCGAACCGTTGCGCGGGTGGACTGGTGATTGTCGCTCAAATAACGTTTGAATTGCGTTCAAATGTGGTTAACAGTGACGTACCCAAGGGGGGGGCCACGGGGGCCAAGGCCCCCCCCTGAGCGCCGAAGGCGCTCAGGGGGCCCCTCAGGCCCCAGGATATTTTTTTTTTAAACACTGGATAAAACGTCTTTTACTCGGAAGAAAAATTGATATTAAAGTTTCATTCATGTGCCCCGGGTACCCGAGGGGCCCCTGCAGTCATCCAAGGGCCCCCAGTTTCCTGGGCCCCTGGTCGCCTAGGGGGCCTCTGGTAGCCGGGGGCCTGGTCTCATGGGGGCCCCTGATAGCCTGTGGCCCCTAGTCGCCTAGGGGGCCCTGGTCGCATGGGGGGCCTCTGGTCGCATGAGGCCCCTGATCGACTGGGGGCCCCTAGTTGCCTAGGGGGCCCTGATAGCCCGGGGCCTGGTCGTATGGGCCCCTGATAGTCTGTGGCCCCTAGTCGCCTAGGGGGCCCTAGTCGCATGGGGGGCCTCTGGTTGCATGATATTGAGGCCCCTGATCGCCTGGGGGTACCTAGTCGCCCAGGGGGCCCCTGGTATCCGGGGGCCTGGTCGCATGGGGGCCCCTGGTTGCCTGGGCCCCCGGTCGCCCCTAGTCGCCTGGGGGACCCTGGTCGCCTTGGGCCCCTGGTAGCCTGGGATCCCCTGGTCGCCTGGGGGCCCCTGATCGCCTGAGGGCCGCTGGTCACCTAGAGGGCCCCTGGTCGCCTGGGGGCCCCTGGTCGCATGGGGGCCCCCTGGGGGCCCCTGATCGCTTTGGGGACCTGATCGCATTGGCCCTTGGTCGCCTGGAGGGCCCTGGTCGCCTGGGGCAGTGGGGCCCCTAGTCATCTGGAGGACCTGGTCGCCTGGGAACCCCTGGTCGACTGGGGGCCCCTGGTCGTCTGAAAGTACGCTTATCACCTGATTGATCCCAAATCATCTGAGTGGCTACTGGCTACTGGATATAAGTAGTGACTGGAGTAGGCACTCATCTGAAGGAGCCAATATCTTTCACGGTGCCGGAGATATCACAGAAAAACAAAAAGGCTAAACTGAATACCCCCAACCTTGGCCCCAAAGGCGTCATTGGCTAACACAGGGATGTGGGTCGATTTGCAATCGCATTTCCTCCTAAGTCCCATTCCTCCAATTAATACAGAGTGTCCCAGAGGCCAGAATTACCCAAACATTTATTTTCTGGCTAAAAGTACAATTGCGCTCGATTCCTAGTGAAACATATAATAGCCGCGTTTACATAGGGCTAGTTGCCAGATAGTGGAATTCCGATAACGAGACATTTATTCCCCACTATTATATTATATACCTACATATCCGGAATTGGAGGATGTTCAATAATTGAGGCGCTCGCTCATAAAATGCCGTGCGTTTCATGCACACTCCTCAAGCAAAAATATTTTTACTTTCCAATTTTCCACATTTTCTCAAGGCTTAGACCGTTACAGAGACCGTTTTAATTGACTTTGATGAAGTTAAACGCGAGAAATCACAACCAAATGCTACATTAGGTTGTAAAGAACTGAATTGCGTTTTCCCACACACGTGGCGTTTTCTCACCTACGTCTGCAGGAGAGACCGGACCCACTATGCCCCCCCCCCCCACCATCGAAAGGTTCTTCA